CCTTGTCAAAACTCAGTTGTCCATATATGTGTGGGTCTATTTTTGGACTCTCTCTTCTATTCCATTTATATATCTGTTTGTCCTTATATCAAAACCACACTATCTGGATTGTTGTAGCTTTACAGTAAATCTTAACACTTTTTCTCCTTTTTCAAGACTACGTTGGCTATTCTAGAGCCTTTTCATATCCATAAAAACTTTAAAATCTCTTTGTCAGTTTTTATCCCCTACAATTACAAATAACTGATTGAACAAGTAGAACACAATTCAGTAAAGCAATAGATTTCAACAACATGCAACCAACTTGATTTATACACTACAGAACACAACACCCATCAATAGCTGAATATACATTTTCTTCAGAGACACATGGAATATTCCCCTAGACAGACCATTCACAGAAATCACACAGTGTATTCTCAGACTACAACAGAATTAGACAACGTAAATAGACAAATTCCTTGAAAAATACAACTTACTATCTCTGAAAAAAGATGAAAGAGAAAATCTGAATAATCCACCCTACGTCTATGACAGAAATTGAATTTGTTATTACAACTTCCCCATCAAGAAAATTCCAGGCCCAGATGGTTTCACTGGTGAATTCCATCAAACAGTAAAAGAAGAAATAACAATCTTACACAAACTATTTCAGAAAACAGAAAAGGGAACACTTCACAACTCATTTATATGGCCAGCATAATCCTAATACCAAAACCTGACAAAGACATTGCAGAAAAAGAAAACTACAACCAATATCACGCATGAAAAATGCAAATACTTTCAAACAAAATATCAGTAAATATAATCCAACAATATATAATAAGGGTTATATATCATAATCAACTAGTATTTTATCTCAGAAATACAAGGTTAATTTAACATTTGAAAATCAACACATAAACTCATATATAAACAAAATAAAAGCAACAACTCATAGGATTACTCTAATAAGATGAAGAAAAAGGATTTGACAAAATTCAACACATAACCATGATTTAAAAATAAACCTCTTCATCAAGCTAGGATTAAAAAAGAACTTCTATAACCTGATAAAGGGCAACTTCAAAAAATATCACACATAATGCTATGCATTTTTTATCCCTAATATTGGGAACAAGGCAAGCATGCCCACACTCACCACTTCTATTCAACATCATACTGAAGGTGTTAGTGAAGTAAGAAAAGGAAAAGAAATAAAAAGCATGGAATTGCAAAGGAAAAAGTGTCTTTAACGTGATAATGATTACTTACATGCAAAACCTCAAAGAACCTACAAGAAAACTAATAGGTGGATGTACAAATGCCTCAGGATACAAAGTCAATGTACAAAAATCAATCACGAGCAATTTATACTAGCAATGAATAATCTGAAATAAATTTAAAAAAACAATGTCATTTACAATACTGTCAAAGAGCGTCAAATATTTAGGGATAAATTTAATGAAGGATGCAGAAGACTTCTACACTGAGGCTGAAAGAAATCAAACATCTAAATAAATACAGAAAATATGCCATGCTCGTGGATTAGAAGGCCCAATATTGTGAAGATATCGATTCTCCTGATATTGATCTATAGAGTGAACTCAACTCCAAACAAAACCCCAGCAGGCTTTTTCAAAAAAAGTGCAAACTGCTTATAAATTTTATATAGAAATGCAAATGACCTAGAAGAGCCAAAGTAATTTTAAAAAAAGGCAAAGTTGGAGAACTTATCCTACCTGATTTCAAGACTCATTACAGAAGCTACAGTGATAAAGAAAAGGTCAGTTTGCCAAAAGGACAGTATATTAACTATATTTTCTCTATTTTTTAAAGTTTTTAATTTTAATTCCAGTATAGTTAACATACAGTGTTATATTCATTTCAGGGGTAGGATATAGTGATTCCACAATTCTATACGTTACTCAGTGCTCATCATAATAAGTGTGCTCTTAACTCCCATCACTTATTTCACCCATCCCCCCACCTCCCTTCTGGCAACCATTAGTTTGTTCTCTATAGTTAAAAGTCTGTTTCTTGTTTTGTCTCTCTCTCTCTTTTTTCCATTTGTTCATTTGTTTCTTAAATTCCACATATGAGTGCAATCATGAGGTATCTTTCTCTGACTGACTTACTTCCCCCCCTTAGCATAATACTCTCTAGTTCCATCCATGTTGTTGCCAATGGCAAGGTTTTGGGTTTTTTTATGGCTGAATAATATGCCATTTTATATATATCACATCTTCCTTATCTTATTTTCTGTATTGTTGACGCTCAGACCATCTGGTGCCTTCCTCATCCTGGAGAGACTGCTTCTCTCAGTACTAGTTATTTCCTAGAGATGGCAGATGAGTTAGTTCCCCCGTAAGCACACCTTTCATATGCAAACCAACCAACCCAGAGCCCACGTCCTCTCCTCCTTTGTTAAGGTCAAGCCACTCTCCTCCTGCTCTGATCACCTCAGTGCCAGGTACCAGGTAACTAGAGACAGTCCCTACACCCCTGGAGCCCCACTGAAATTACTCAAAACTAGCCAATCCTAAACCTCTCCAGCCTGCTTACTCTGTTTCACCCATTCTTCCCCATGAAAATGACAATAAAGGCTCTTAGCCATGCTTTCCCCTAAAACTTTGGCCTCCTGACTGACCCTGGTGCGTCCTGCTGTGGCCTTGCATGGTATGGCATGTCTACTCCTCTTAGGGACTGTGAATTACAAACCATCTTTTATTTTATTTTATTTTTATTTATTTTTTTAAATTTTATTATGTTATGTTAGTCACCATACAATACATCATTGGTTTTTGATGTGGTGATCCACGATCCACTGTTTGTTTTTTGAAAAGATTTTATTTATTTGACAGAGAGAGAGACAGCCAGAGAGGGAACACAAGCAGGGGAGGAGCGGGAGAGGGAGAAGCAGGCTTCCCACGGAGCAGGGAGCCTGATGTGGGGCTCGATCCCAGGACCCTGGGATCATGACCTGAGCCGGAGGCAGACATTTAATGACTGAGCCACCCAGGTGCCCCACAAATTATCTTTTTAATGGTAGTCATCTCTGGATCTGTTGGTCTCAGCATGCCTGAATAATATTAAAACCAACATTTTATTTTATTTTTTATTTTTTTATTATGTTATGTTAGTCACCATACATTACATCATTAGTTTCTGATGTAGTGATCCATGATTCATTGTTTGCGTATAACACCCAGTGTTCCATGCAATACGTGCCCTCCTTAAAAACTAAGAAACAGAAAAACCTTAAAACAGAAAGACATATAGATCAACTGAGCAAAATAAAGAGTCCAGAAATAGGTTCACATATATAAAGTCAATTGGTTGGGGCGCCTGGGTGGCTCAGCCGTTAAGCGTCTGCCTTCGGCTCAGGTCATGATCCCAGGGTCCTGGGATGGAGCCCTGCATCAGGCTCCCCGCTCAGTGGGAAGCCTGCTTCCCCCTCTCCCACTCCCCCTGCTTGTGTTCCCTCTCTCGCTGTCTCTGTCAAATAAATAAATAAAATCTTAAAAACAACAACAACAACAACAACAACAAAACGGGAAAGATATCTGAATAGACACTTCAAACAAAAATGTACAAATGGTCAATAAGCACACGAAACGATACTTATCGTTACTCATCAAAGGAGTGCAACTTAAAATCATAACGAGATACCATTACACATCCACTGTAATAGCAAAAATTAAAGAAATAATGGTAACAGGTGTTAGCAAGGATGTGAGCGACAGAAATTCTCGTGTATTGCTGCTGGGAGTGTAAAATCACATAGCCACTTTGGAAGGTAGTTTGGCAATTTCTTAGAAAGGCGAGTATACACTTACTTATACAATTAGATGACCCCCCAACTCCACTCCTAGGTATTTACCCAAGGGAAATGTAAACATATGGTCACGCAAAGACATGCCAGAATGTTCACGACAGCTGTACTCATAATAACCAAATAACAACCACCTGTCATCAACAGGTATATGGATAAACAAATTGCAATCTATTCATATCATGGAATAGTCTTCAGCGTTTAAAAGGAATAAACTAGCAATATACTCAGTAACATGGATGAATCACAGAATCATGATACTGAACAAATGAAGCCAGACCCAAAAGGGTGTAGAGAGTAGGATTCCACTCATATGAAACCCTAATAAAGACAAATCTAATCTATAGTGACAGAACTATACTGACAGCTGTCAGTAGTTTGCCTGGGCCCGAAGTGGTGGTGCCCATGGACTACAAGGGGCACGGAGACTCATTTTTGTGAGGCAGAATGTTCCCCATATCATGATTGGGGTGGTGATTACACCAGTGTGGACTTTCATCAAATGGGGCACTTCAAATGGATACATTTTACTGTATATAAATTATACCTTAACACAGTTGATTTATTTAAAAGACAAAAATGCTAAGTGACAGTGATCCCAAGGTCAGAAGATGGGAGAGAGGCATGGCAACAGGGGAGATAGAGAGGAGTGAGGAATCTGAAAAGAGAAGAGGAGGTGAGGCTGGTTGTCGATGAGTTTATTGGTTATCTTAGAGTTAAGAAGAAAATGAGGAAGAAAGCGAGAAGGTCCTCAGAAGAACAGGTGTGGGGCAACCTACTGGTTTTCAAAGAAGGCAAACCCATTAAAACCTGACTGTATATATTTTAAGAATCTCTGACGCTGGGGGTGGGGCTTAAGGACTGAAGGATAAAAATGTGATGGAAGGAGAAAACATCCAAAGAAGCAAGATCTATAGGGCGGAAGCCTGGCATATGATTCTGAGTGTAGAATTGCAGCACTTCTCCCAAAGGAAAGCCAGGCAAAAAAGACAGTTGATCACACTAAGGGATATAAAGGGAGAGAATAGTCTGGTACCTAAGAGGCCAATGTTACCTCTTCTCAAGCAGTTTCCAAAGTTGAGATCCTCCAAGAAGGTAGTAATAAATAGCATTTTAAAGGCATAGGCTTCTTAGGAAATGAAAAGTGTTTTCATGCCCCCCATCTGCCTAGGTTGCACTCACTCACCTGAACAGCTCTGATGTGGGGTTTTTCTCTCCAAAATCCATGGCTCCTCTCCTTGTTCCAACTTGAAGATGACCTCTGGTTTGGGAACTTCATACCCTGTTAATAGGACATGATAGAATTGGGTCCAGCTAACTGCTTTCGACTTTTTTTTTTTTTTTTAAAGTAACCACATTTCACTGGGAAAAGAGTAATAATCACAGAGGTTAATGGACTGAAGGATCTCAGGCCAATCAAGGACGTCACCAGCACACACTTCAGATGGCTCAGAGTACTCAGCAGCTGAGAATGGAAATACTCTCATAGAGGCTCTGTGTTTGTTTCCTAGGGCAGCTGTAACAAAGTACCAAAACCTAGGTGGCTCAAAACAGCAAAAAGTCACTGTCTCATGCTTCTGGAACCTCAAGTCTGAAATCAAAGTGTTAGTAGGGCCATGCTCTCTCTGGCAGATATAAGGGAGAATCCTTCCTTGAGTCTTCTAGCTTGTTTGCTGGCAGTCTTTGATTTTTTTAAAAGATTTTATTTATCTGACAGAGAGAGAGATAGCCAGAGAGAGAACACAAGCAGGGGGAGCAGGAGAGGGAGAAGCAGGCTTCCTGCAGAGCAGGGAGCCCGATGCGGGGCTCGATCCCAGGACCACGGGATCATGACCTGAGCCGAAGGCAGATGCTTAACCATCTGAGCTACCCAGGAGCCCCTCTTTGATGTTTCTTTAGCTTGTAAATGCATCACTCCAATCACATGGTCATCTTCTCCCTATGTGTCTTCACATCGTCTTCCCTTTATATGTGTCTATTTCTTTTATTTCTTAAAAAGATTTTATTTATTTATTTATTTGAGAGAGAGAGAGCACAAGCTGGGGAGAGAAGGAGAGGGAGAGCAGGCTCCCCGCTGACCAGGGAGCCCGAGGCAGGACTCGATCCCAGGACCCTGGGATTATGACCTGAGCCAAAGGCAGACACTTAACTGACTGAGCCACCCAGGCGCCCCATATATGTATCTACTTCTATGCCCAAATTTCCCTTTTTTTTATAAGGACACCAGTCATATTAGATTAGGGCCCACTCCAATGAACTCATTTTAACTTGATTACCTCTATAAAGACACTATGTCCAAATAAGGTCACATTCTGGGATACTGGGGGTTCAGATTTCCACGTATATTTTTTTTTCAGGGGGACACACAATTCAACCCATTAAAAAATCTGCCCTCTGACACCCCCCCACCACCAAATTCACGTCCTTCCATGTGCAAAATATATAACCCCATCCCAATATCCCCCAAAGTCTTAATCATTCCAGCATCAAGTCTTAAATTCAAAATCTATCTAAACATCAACTCAAAGTCTTAAATCTTATCATCTAAATCCCAAATTGGTTATGGGTGTGATGTGAGTATGAGTCATCTCAGGGCAGCTTCTCTCCACACAAACCTGTGAAAGCAGACAAATCATCAGCTTCCAAAATGCAATGGTATGACAGGCATTAAGACAGACATTCCCATTCCAAAGGGAGAGATTGGAATGAAAAAAGGGATCACAGATCCCAAGAAGGTCCAAAAACTAGCAAGACAAAGCCCACTAGATTTTAAGGCTTGAGAGTAATTCTTTTTTTTTTTTTTTTTTTTTTTTTAAGATTTTATTTATTTGTCAGAGAGAGAGAGAGAGAGCACAAGCAGGCTGCCCCCAAGTAGGGAGCCTGATGTGGGACTCGATCCCTGGACTCTGGGATCATGACCTGAGCCGAAGGCAATGAATGGCTCAACCTACTGAGCCACCCAGGCGTCCTGAGAGTAATTCTTATTGGCTCAATGTTCTGTCCTCCAAGCCTACCAGGGTGGTGGCCCCACCCTGTTGGCCCGGGGCAGGAGTGGCACCATTCACTACCACCTCTACTGGTCCACTAGCAAAATATTTGTTTCCTGTTCCTGTGCCCCCTATGCTCTGCTGTTCTCTTAGTTCCAAAGGGAGCAACGCTTCCACCAGGAGACACAGTAGTGATTCTACTGAACTGGAAGTTAAGTCTGTCATGTGGACATTTTGGGCTCCTCATGTCTCTGAATCAAAAGGCAAAGAAGGAAGTTACTGTGCTGGCTGGGGTGACTGATGTTGACTAGTCAGGGGAAATTGGCCTGCTACCCCACAATGGAAATAAGGAAGAGAGAGTCTGGAACACATGTAATCCCTTAGGGCATTTCTTAGTACTGCTGTGCCCTGTGATGAAAGTCAGCAGGAACTATAACAATCCAATTCAGGCAGAACTACTAATGGCCCAGATCCTTTAAGAATGAAGTTTGGGCGTGGGGTGCCTGGGTGGCTCAATCAGTTAAGCATCTGCCATCGGCTCAGGTCATGATCCCGGGGTCCTGGGATCGAGCTCCGCATCGGGCTCTCTGCTCAGCGGGGAGCCTGCTTCTCCCTCTGCCTCTGTTCCTCCCACCCTCTTGTGTATGCGCACATGTGCGTGCATGCACACACATGCTGTCTCTCAAATAAATAAACAAAATCTTAAAAAAAAAAAAAAGAATGATGTTTTGGGTCACCCCACCAGGTGAAGAACCACAATCTGTTGTGTTTGCTGCGGGCAAAGAGAACAAGGAATGGGTCTGCAGTCTACTGGCCTGTCCTGCAGATTTCGAATTTAGGATTACAACATCACCTCACTCGAATTTCCAGCCTGCAGGCCTGCCCTTTAAATTTCAGACTTGTTGGTCCCTGCAATCAGGCGAGCCAGTTCCTTAAAATAAATCTCTTCCCCAGACTCCGTGTATATGTATTCATTCTCTCTCTCTGTCTTTCTCTAGGTAGGTGTGTATGTGTGTATTTATAGTGTGTGTGTGTGTGTGTGTACTTTGTATATGTACATACCCATACCTTATTGGTTCCATTTCTCTGGAGAACCATAACAGATTTTGAAAGTGGCACTAGAGGAAGAGAATACTAAGAGTGAGTTTTCTGAGGGCGCCTGGGTGGCTCAGATGGTTAAGCGTCTGCCTTCGGCTCAGGTCATGATCTCAGGGTCCTGGGATCGAGTCCCGCATCGGGTTCCCTGCTCAGTGCAGAGCCTGCTTCTCCCTCTCCCTCTGCCACGCCCTCTGCTTGTGCTCTTCTGTCTATCTCTCTGTCAAATAAATAAATAAAATCTTTTTTAAAAAAAATGAGTTTTCTGAGCAGGTTATGGGGTTTCTAGAATTGGTTCCCTACTCTGATTAGATCTGAAGGCACTAATGACTCTATTTCCAATAGTAAAGAGTACACTGGGATTCCATGGGGTGATGTGGCAAAAGAGATACGCGAAATACCACCACTGGATACTCCTAATCAAATGCTTGTGAGAGGCATGGTTCTGGGTGACCTTGTATTTGACACCTTAGAAATTTTTGTCAAACTTACAAGTATAATAAGATTGCCAGGTTGCTCCTAATTGTGCTGGACAAAGTGGAGGGGGGGGTGGAAGAATGAACTCAGGGATTTGATTTCCCAGCTCAAGCGCTGCATAAACGACCTGAAAATTTCTATGTCTGTCCTGAAAGAAACCCCTAACCTCTGTAGCTACAGAGCTGATGTTGCCGGAAACCAAACCCAGAGTCTCATCCTGGGAGTGGCCACATTACAACACAAATTGAATTCCCAACCTTACAGGGTGTCTGCTATTAAGGTAAGGGAATTGACTGAAAAGGAATGGGATCCAGAAATTTGGAATGGACATATATGAGGACACTGAACTTCTAAGATCTGAAGAGTCTTCTTTCTGAGTAGAAGCAGCCCTTCTACCCTCGTCTGAGAAGATTAACCCTACTTTGCCTGAGGACCCCACAATGGCCTCCCCTGAGGTACTTGCCTTGCAAGGTACTGCTGATTTCTCTCACGACATACCCCCACTACCCTTATTTGCTTCTAGACCTAGAACTAGACTCAAGTCTCATTAGGGCCCAAAGGGGGAGGTTTGTGTAATCCACGAGGAGGTGCAAGAGATCTGCATTATTTGTCCAGTTTATACAGGCAGAAAGCTGGGAAACCTAGGTACAAATAGATATTTAAGAGTGTGGGATAATGGAAAGGACATAAAGTTGGATCAATCAGGCCAAATGTGTTGGTACGTGCACACTACACAGATTCTTAATTTAATGTTGCTGCTTGAGGGGTTAGAAAGGGCTCAAACATTTTGTTTGGTTGGCTGAAACACGGATCAAAACGTGGCTTGTACAAAATGCAACTGAAATGGAGAAGTGCTATATACTACAGAGAAAGGCATCCAAGGGCTTGGGGAGACTGGCATGTTAGAGTGGATTTAGCATGTAAGACATGCTCTCCCACGCTGTCCAGAGGACACTCTTGTTACCATGACTGGGACATGCAAATTTGTGAGGGGGGCGGTGTTCTTGAAGAGCTCTGTGATTGCTCTTCTCTGTAGGACACAAATCGGGAAACCCCAATGCCATGGGAGTAGTTGGATCCTGGGGTGACAGGGGCCAAATGGGGGCAGTGAATTGCTAAATGCAAGGTAGACACGGTTACTATAATGGACAGCAGGGTCAAACCAGTGATCAGAATAGTCTGACCTGCAGAGACCCATGGTGTTGGCCAGTTGATCATGGTGTCTCTAGAAAAGAAACAGATGAGCTGTCTATTAAATTCTTAATTGATCTGCATTAAGAGAAGAGTTCTAGGTCAAGTGAACAGAAGTCTAACAGGATACATAGAGTCTCAGCTCCTCAATCATTTTTCAGACTTGAGCCAGTTTACAGACCCAGAACCCTTTGAATGAAGGGGAGCCCGGGTCCCTTGAGGAAGGACCCCCCTACACTGTCAAAATGTATACTGCTAATCTTTCTCTTCCCTAAAGGGATTTACAGCCCTTTGTCAGGGTGCCTGTGCAGGGAGGGAAAGGAGGTTTTCCCAAGATTACTGGAGACCAGTTCTGAACTGACACGAATTCCAGGAGACCCAAGATGTCACCATGGCCCACCAGACAGCACAGGGGCTAATGAGAGTGAAGTCATCAACTGAGTTTTCAGCTTAGCTCCATCTCACAGGGGGCCCAGCAGGCCCCCCAATCCATCCTGTGGTTATTTCCCAGGTTCAGGAATGCAGAATTAGAATACAGATACTCAGCAACTGGCAGAATACCCATACTGGTTCCCTGACCCGTGGAGTGAGGACTATTATGGTGAGAAGGGCCAAGTGGAAGCCGCTAGAACTGCCTGTACTAGGAAAACAGTCAGCCAAAAGAAATACTGCATTCCTGTAGGAACTGCAGAGATCAATGCAACCACCAAGAACCTGAAGGATGCAGGGGTAGTGAGTCCCACCACATGGCCATTCGACTCACCTCTCTGGCCTGTGCAGAGGACAAACAGATCTTGGAGAATGACTGTGGATCATCACGAACTTAACCAGGCGGTAACTCCAATAGCAGCTGCTGTGCCAGATGTGGGTTCACTGCTTAAACAAACTAACACATCCCTTGGTACCCAGTGAACAGCTATTGATCTGGCAAGTGTGTGGGTCTGTTTTATGTTTTTTGGTTTTGTTTTTGTTGTTGTTGTTGTTTTTGTTTTTGCAATACCTGTTATCAAAGACTACTAGAAGCAGTTTGCTTTCAGTTGACAAGGCCAACTATATATATACCTTCACTGTCCTACCTCAGAGATGTATCAGCCCTCCAGCCCTACGTCATAATTTAGTCTGTAGGGATCCTGATTGACTTTCCCTTCCACAAGATATCACGTTGGTCCATTACACTGATGACATCACACTGAATGCACCTGATGAATGAGGACTAGTAACCACTCTTGACTTACTGTAAGATATTTATATGGCAGAGGGTAGGAAATAAATCTGACCACAATTTAGGGGCCATCTACCTTGGGGAAATTTCTAGGGGTAGAGCGGTATGGACCCACTGGACCCCTAGGAATTTCTAAGTGAAGAATAAGTTTTTGCCTCTGGCTCTTCCTACAAATAAAAAGAGGGACAATGGCTACTGAGCCCATGGACTTCAGAGGCAATATATTCCTCAGCTGGGTGTGTTATTCTGCCCCATTTACCATGTGATCCAAAAAACTGCTAGTTTTGAGCAGAGCCTGGAACAAAAGAAGGCTCTGCAAAGGTCCAGTGCCATACAAGCTGCTACTGGGGCCATATGATCTGGCAGATCCAGTGGTGCTTGAAGTGTCGGTGGCAGATGGGGATGGAGCCTTTGACAGGCCCTTAGGTGAACCACAGAGCAAATCTTGGGATTTGGGACCAAAGCCCTACCATCCTCTGGGGATAACTGCTCTCCTGTTGAGAAACAGCTTTTGGCTCCCTACTGGGTCTCAGTTTACTTGCTCACTGAAGTTAAGCATATTCATAGGTGGAAGAAAGGAAACTTAACAAGGACTACTTCAGTAATGGTCAGTGAACATGGAAGAGCCCAGTGCGGAATCCTCACACGGTGTTGGGACGCAAGAAATATGGCAAGCGGTGGAGACCCACTCAGAGGGGGCCCAAGTCCTTCTGATCAAGGCCCAGCCTGCAGATGGTGTGAGGTCAGTAGCAGCCCCTGGAGCACTGAGCCTGAGTCTTCCCGGAGTTGTGCTGCTTGGGGATGCAGTCCAAGGTGGGTGGCAAGCTCCTTCTAAGGCTAACTAATGGCACAAACTCAATTGTTAACAAGTACTGGAAGGGAACGTTGAAAAGCACTTTGCAGAGCGAATTCGAGAGAGCACGATGCTGTTAGGAGGTGTGACCTCAGATGAGATGTGGCAACTCCACACCCTTGACCCTGGGTGGCGGCTCTGCCCCTTCAGGCCGGTAACCAAGTCGGTGGCTTGCCCTCTGGAACTGAGGAGATGATGGTCTGTTGCATCCCATTTTCCCAGCCTGGGCCCTCTGGGCCTGTGGTGGCAGCAGCAGCCATCCTGGCCTCAGAACCATCCTTGAAATCATTCATCCCCCTTCCAGAAGGCTAATGCATGTGCACAGCGGAACAGACACCCTACAGCCTTCCCTCGTTGTTTCCTGTCTCTGTCCTCTTTGGTCAAAGCTAGCAGCATTTCCACTGACATGGCTGATGGGATCCACAGGTCATACTTCTGATCTCTTTAGCAACTGGCTGTCCATACCTTTGGTGTTCTTTCCAGAGTCCATCTCAGTTTTCGCACTATGGACAGGCTGAGCATTTTCCAAATCTTCAAGTTCTGCTTCTTCTCTTACTAACAATTCCTCTCCAATGTCTCTCTTTCCTCCTGCATTTTACTGTAAGCAGCAAGGAGAGCACAGGCCATGCCTCTAACGCTTTTGCTTAGAAATTTCCACAGCTAACTATCCAAGTTTATCACTTATGCTTTCTGCTTTTCACCCAACAGAACACAGTTCAATCAAGTTCTCTGCTACTTGGTAACAAGGATCTCCTTTCCTCCAGTTTCCAGTAACACACTCCTCACTCCATCTGAGACCTCACCCAAAGCCCCCTTAACGTCCATATTTCTACCAGTGAATCTCTTCAAGGCAATCTAGGCTTTCTCTATCAAGCACCTAAAACCTTTCCAGCCTCTACCCATTGTCCAATTCCAAAGCCGCTTCCATATTACAAAAATCTGTCTTAGTTTCCTAGGGCTGCTATAACAAAGTACCAGAAGCTGGGCAGCTCAAAACAACAGACATTCACTGAGTCACAGTTCTGGAAGCCAGAAGTCCGAAATCAAGGTGTCAGTAGGGCCATGCTCCTTTTGAAGGAGAACCTTCAATACGGGAAGGAACTCGTCCATGCTTCTCTCTGACCTCCTGGTGGCCTCGGGCATGTGTCGCCTTATAGATGCACCACTCCAGTGACGTGGCCATCTTCTTTTCCTTATGTGTCTTCACACTGTCTTTCCTCTGTGTGTGTCTGTCTCTATGTCTAGATTTCCCTTATTTTAAGTACACTGGTCATACTGGATTAGGACCCACCCAGAAGACCCCGTTTAAGCTTGATTACTTCTATAAAGACCCCAATTCCAAAAAAGAGCATATCCCGAGGTGCTTAGTCCTAACTGAGGTTAGGACTTCAACACAGTTTACTTGGAGGATACAGTTTTACCCCTAACACGCTCCTCGTAGTTTCTCCGAAGGGCTGGGCTTACCCACTGAGCGCAAGTGGCTGTAATTCTCCAGCGTCACATCCCGGTAAAGGCGTCTCTGAGCAGGGTCCAAGTGCTGCCACTCCTCCCTGCTGAAGTCCACAGTCACATCCTCGAATGACACGGAGACCTGTAACAACACAGTCCCGTTCAACGTGACAGGGTCAGCAGCGGGGGATAGGGAGAGGATCAGTAAGAAATTGTTTTTAATGATTTTTTCACCAGAATATGCTATACAGTATGCCTACAAAATACCTAGTTATGTGTAATGTTGTGTAACATACAAATATCTAATCGTAAACCTTTGCCATTCGTTGTGTACAACATTAAGTCAGTCTTTCATTTTTTTGAAGATTTTATTTATTTACCCATGAGAAGCAGAGGCAGGAGAAGCAGGCTCCCTGCAGAGCAGGAAGCTCGATTAGGGGGCTCGATCCCAGGACCCTGGGATCATGACCTGAGCCGAAGGCAGACGCTTAACCGACTGAGCCACCCAGGCACCCCCAGTCTTTCATTTTTAACATGTCTTAATAATTTTGTACAGGATTTGACCTTGATCCTATTTTGTTGTTCATTTTCTTGGGGGGGGGGTTCTTTATTGTTGTTCATTTTAATGGGAAGTCTGTGTTCTATAACTTTTATTTTTTTTATTTTGTTTTAATTTTACAGCCATTTTTTGTGCTCCAGTGAAAGAGAAAAAGAAAGTGCTCGCATTACAAATGCCATCCTCCCATCCACATATGCCAGTCGCTGCAAACCAAACCGTCCGCTGGGCCTCCGGGCATGCAGTTTGCTTCCACTGCAGGAATGGGGAGGGGCAGGCCAAGCCTGGGCTCTGGGGGTTCTGCTTGGGGGGAACTTCTTGTCCTGGGGGAATCCACCTGTAAGGGAGTCAGGGGACAGCTAGGGGTAGCTTTGCTCAGTGCGCATCCTTTGGGTGCTGTTGGGAACACCCTACTCAATTTTGGATCCTGCAGCGCTCCAAGGAGGAAGGCCCCCTTCCCCCACCACAGGCTCCCCAGTCTGACCCCCCAGTGCTAACCCTGTAGGCGGGTCCCAGGGGGCTGGAGGACACCATGCAGGGGGACGGGGTCGGTGGGGCCGGCTCAACCCTGCTGAGAGCACCAGCTGGCCTCCCTGGAGGGAAGGCAGGGTAGGGGGGCCCAGGGCCCCAGGCTGAGTTGTAGCAGTTGTGTGGGTGGTGGTCGTGGGCAGGCTTGCCCAGCTCTGAGTATTCAGGCGTCAGGCAGTTTTTGGGGTCATAGACCTGGCACAGCAGCCCATACACTGTCATGGCCTGCTGCCAGGCCCCCTTGTTGCTGCCCATCTTAAGGCTGATGTTGAGCATGTCACAATGCTCCATACCCAGCCCAGGCTTAAAGATCTGTTGCTTGGTCCCAGATGCAGTCAGGCCGGCCTGCCTGGCTCCCTTGTTGGTGCCTATCTGCAGGCTGATGGTGGCCTGGTCCAGGGGCCGGTCCTTGCCCAGCTTGGGGTCACAGAGGTGGCACGGGGTGCCACAGGCTGTCGTGCCCTGCTGGCTAGCAAATCTGTTGGTGCCCATCTGTAGCCTAATGATGTTCTGCCCTTCTCTTAGCTTCTCTGGCTCAAATTTCTGTTCCTGCTTCTCTGCGTACCTCACCCCTACATTCACCTTATTCCCTTTCGTCTTGGCCAGGGCTGGGAGGGTGGACTGCACCTGGGTGTGGTTGGTTTTCTCAAACAGGTCGTTGGCCTCAAAAATGTCAGCGGACTTCACCCCATACTTGGTGATGGCCTTGATGCAGCTGCCAATATTTTCCAGCTGGTGCCAATTTTGGGTCGACTCACCGACTTGCTTCATGGAGCCTGGCTGAAACTTACTGATGAACTTGCAAAGAATGCCATCTTTGAGGCCATCCATGAAATTGTTGCTGATGCGGTGCCCTGTCACCCCCTCGATCCATTCTTGAAGCTCCTACTCCTGCTTGTGGTCACACTTTTGGGCCAGCTTGTTCTCGACCTCAACAGACAACCCATAGGCGGGGCCCTGGTTGAAGTGAGCAGAGGACACGCTGGCTGGTGGTGGGCAGCAGTGGCAGTGGCACTGAAGACCGAGGCAGCAGCTAAGGCTCCATCTGCCTGTGTTCTAGAACTTCTAGAAGGAAGCATGCATACTTTTTTTTTTAACTTTACATAGCTCCCTCTACTCTTGCTCTAATTAATTCTTCACAAATATGACCATTTTCTCTTCATGCCTTTTTATTGCTCATTTCTAAGTGAATTCTGTAGTGGTGAGAAAATATACTCTGTACGATTTCAACATACGGTCTATCCGGAAGAATGTTCATGTGTCCCTGGAAAAGAATGTATATTCAGCTGTTGATGGCTGTAGTATTCTATAATATACAAATCAAGTTGGCTGAGTGTTGTTGAAATTTTCTATCACCATACTCATTTGTCTTCTACTTGTTCAACCAATTATTTGTCAACTTTCTGGTAAAAGCTGGCAAGGAAATGTTAAAGTGTATATGGCTATGCAAAGGATCTAGAATAGCCAAAGCAAGGAACAGTGTTGAGGATTTATATGTAATGATAAGTCTTACTATAAAGCTATGATACTTTAGATACTTCAGTGTGGTGTTGATGTAAGTACAGATAGATATACCAATGGAGCAGAATAGAGAGTCCGGAAACAGAACCATACACATACGGGCAACTGTTTTTTGACCAATGTACCAAAGTAATTCAATGGGGAAAAGAAAAGTCTTTTCAAAAAATTGTGCTGGAACAATGGATATAAGTTTTGGAGGAAAAAACAAACCTTGACCCATACCTTACACCACATACAAAAATTAACAATAATCAAGTTCCAGTATGACTGAATTAATTTTATCAGACCAACTTTCACATAGATAACAACTACACTCTGAACAAAATATTAAAAAAAAACTATCTGGAGATACTGAAGAGTAACAAAAATCAGGTATTTACTGGAAGAGAACTGACAATTAGAAGAAGGGATGGCACTGGATGGGTTTACCAAGTTTACAGCCTTTAGCTTGTAAAAAGACCTAGTCATGCCATGCAGGGTAACTGCAATTCCACTAGAAAAACTCCAGTCTTAACTGAACTTGAAGAATCAAAGGAGAGTTTTGCAGTCGTCATGACCACCAGAAAGACAAATTCACACAGAAAAAGGTGCCTGAGATCTATGTGTTAACGCTTCCTAATCTCTGGTTGAGTAAATAAATTAACTAAATTTGAGTTACCACACACCATAGAGGAGACAGTTGCCAATATGAGTCCAGCCAAATCAAGTGCTTGCTAAACCAAATGAAAAAAAATCAGCGATCTTCAGGGGAACTAAACAGAATTCAAAATGTCTACAATATATGATTCACAACAACCAAGATACAGTTGAAATTAATCAACATAGAAACAGAAAGGTATTGAGAGAAATAAAAGAAGTTCAAGAGGAAATGCAATCAGAGACTGACCCTGAACTGATTTAAATGCCGGAATTAGCAGTAAAAGATTTTAAACCAGCTATCTATAAGTATGCTCAAGAACATAAAGAAAAATATGTTCACAGTGAAAGAATAATAGGATAGTTCAACTGAGAAGAACTATAAAAATAACCATCTAGATTACTATGAACAATTATATGCGAACAAACTGGATGACCTAGAAGAAGTGGATAAATTCCTAGAAACACACAACCTACCAAGACTGAATCATGAAAAGACAGAAAATCTAAACAGACTGAATACTAATAAGAAGACTGAATCAGTAATCAAAAACCTCCCAACAAAGAAAAGTCCAGAATCAAACCGCTTCACTAAGAATTCCACCAAACAGGGCAGCTGGGTGGCTCAGTTGATTAAGCGACTGCCTTCGGCTCAGGTCATGATTCCGGAGTCCTGGGATCGAGTCCCACGTCGGGCTCCCGGCTCAGTGGGGAGCCTGCTTCTCCCTCTGACCCTATCCCCTCTCATGCTGTTTCTCTCTCTCTCAAATAAATAAATAAAATATTAAAAAAAAAAAAAGAATTCTACCAAACATTCAAAGAAGAATACCAATCCTTCTCAAACTCTTCCAAAAAACAGAAGGGAACACTTTGAAATTCATCTAACAAGGTCAAAATTACCCTGGTACCAAAACCAGACAAGGACACCACAAGACAAGAAAATTACAGCTAAATATCCCTGATGAATACAGATGCAAAAATCCTCAACAAAATATTACCAAAATGAATTCCACAATACATTAAAAGAACCCTACAAATTGATCAAATGGGATTCCAGTGCTATAAGGATGGTTCAACATCTGTAAATCAATCAATGTGACACACCACATTAACAAAATAAAGGATAAAAATCATATTATCATCTCAATAGATGCAGAAAAAGCATTTAACAAAGTTCAACATCCATTTATGATAAAAACTCTCAGCAAAGCAGGCATAGAGAGATGGTATCTCAACACAATAAAAACCATATATGACAAGCACACAGCTAACATCATAATCAACAGTGGAAAGCTGAAAGCTTTTCTAAGATCAGAAACAAGACAAAGATGCCCGCTCTTGCCACTTTTATTCAAGAGTATTGGAAGTCCTAGCCAGAGCAATTAGGCAAGAAAAAGAAATAAAAGGCATCCAAATCGAAAAGGAAGATGGAAAACTGTCACTGTTTGCAGATGACATCGTATTATATATAGAAAACCCTAAAGACTCCACCAAAAAATCTGTTAGAACTAAAAAATGAATTCAATGAAGTTGCAGGACACAAAAATCAATATACAAAAACAATGGATCGTGGATCACCACATCAAAAACTAATGATGTATTGTATGGTGACTAACATAATATAATAAAATTTAAAAAAAAATCTGTTGTGTTTCTATACACTAATAATGAATTACCAGAAAAAGAAATTAAGAAAACAATCCCATTTATAACTGCATTAAGAAAAATACCTATGTTAAAAAAAAAGAAAAAGAAAAATACCTAGGAATAAATTATCCAAGGATGTAAAAGAACTATACATTGAAAATTATAACACATTGATGAAAGAAACTAAATAAAACAAGTAAACAGAAAGATATTCTGTGCTCATGGATAGGAAGAATTAATACTGTTAAGATATTACCAAATTACCAAATATTACATTACCAAAAGCAATCTACAGATTCACTGCAATCCCTGTCAAAATTCCAATGGCATTTTTCAGAGAAATAGAACAAACCTAAAATACTTATGGAACCACAAAAGACCCTAAATAGCCAAAGCAATCTTCAGAAAGAACAAAGCTGGAGGTATCACAACCTAGATTTCAAACTGTATTATAAAGCTGTAACAATCAAAACAGTATGATGTTAGCATAAAAACAGACACTTTAAATCAATTGAACAGAAGACAGAGCCCATAAATTAGCCCACCCCATATGGTCATTAATTTACAACAAAAGGGATAAAAATATACAGTGGAGAAAAGAAAATCTTTTCAATAAATGGTGTTGAGAAAACTGGACAACTACATGCAAAACAATGAAACTGGGCCACATTCTTATACCATACACAAAAATAAATTCAAAACGGATTAAAGACTTAAATGTGGGACCTGAAACCATAAAACCCATAGAAGAAAACATAGGCAATAATCTCTTTGACATCAGTCTAAGCAACATTTTTTGTAGCTACGTCTCCTCAGGCAAGGGAAACAAAAGCAAACATAAACTATTGAGACTACACCAAAATAAAAAGCTTATGCACAGCAAAGGAAACCATCAACAAAACAAAAAGGCAGCCTAGTGAATGTGAGAAGATATTTGCAAATGATATATCCAATAAGGTGTTATATCCAAAATACATAAAGAACTTATAAAACTCAATTCCAAAAAAACCCCACCAAATAATCTGATTTATCAATAGGCAGAAGACCAGAATAGAAATTCTTCCAAAAAAGACATCCATGAAAAGATGCTCAACATCACTGATCATCAGGGAAATGCAAATCAAAACCACAGTGAGATATCGCCTTATACCCTTCAGAATGGCTAGAATAAAAAAGAAATAACAAGTGGTGAGGATGTGGAGAAACAGGAATCCTTGTGTACTGTTGGTGGGAATGTAAACTGGTGCAGCCACTGGGAAAAATAATGTGGAGGCTCCTCAAAAAATTAAAAATATGATCCAGCAATTCCACTACTGGGTATTTACCCAAAGAAAATGAAATCACTAATTCAAAAAGATATATGCTCCTTTGTTAACTGCAGCATTATTTACAAGGGCCAAGATATGGAAGCAATCCAAGTGTCCATCGATAGATGAATGGATAAAGAAGATGTGGTATATAAAATGACATATTACTCAGCCAAAGGAACGAGTGAGATCTTGCCATCTGTGACAACATGGATGGACCTAGAGGGTATTATGGCAAGTAAAGTAAGTCAGACAGAGAATACAAATACCATATGACTTCACTTGTATGTGGAATCTAAAAAACAAGACAAATGAACAAACAAAAAACAGACTCTTAAATATAAAGAACAAACTGGTGGTTGCCAGAAGGGAGATGAGAGGGGAGATGGGTGAAATAGATAAAGGGGATTAAGAGGTACAAACTTACAGTTATAAAATAAATAAGTCATGAGATGAAAAGTACAGCAAAGGAAATACAGTCAATGATACTGTAATAATGTATGGTGACTACACTTATTGTACTGAGCGTGGACTAAGGTATAGAATTGTTGAATCAAGACTGCATACCTGAAACTAACATGATATTTTATGTTAGTTATATTTCTATTTCATTTTTTTAAAGATTTTATTTATTTATCTGAGAGAGAGAGAGCAGAGAGAGAGAGAGAGAGCATGGGTGGGGGTGAGGGGCAGAGGGAGAGGGACAAGCAGACTCCCCGCCGAGCAGGGAGCCCGATGCAGGGCTCGATCCCAGGACCCTGGGATCATGACCTGGGCCAAAGGCAGACACTTTAACCGACCGAGCCACCCAGGCGCCATGTAGTTATATTTCAATTTTTAAAAAAGGAAAAAAAAAAACCCTAAAACTAAAAAAAACCAAAAAACAAACAAACAAACAAAAACCCTAAAAGTGCCATAGAAGAAGACATAAGAGAATATCTTTGCAACACTGGGTCAAGCAAGGATTTCTTGACATAGTACAAAAAACAATAAATATAAAAGAAAATTTGGATAAATGGGACCTTACCAAAATTAAAACTTCTGCTCATCAAAAGATGCCATTAAGAAAATGAAAAATCAAGACACAGCCTGGGAGAAAATATTTGCAATACATACACAAAACACCCATAGTTAGAATGTAGAAAGAACTCCTACATGGGTATTAGGGAGGGCACGTACTGCATGGAGCACTGGGTGTTATACGCAAACAATGAATCAACGGAAAACTACATCAAAAACTAATGATGTACTGTATGGTGACTAACATAACATGATAAAATAAAAAAAATATTCTAGGGACGCCTGGGTGGCTCAGTCGGTTAAGCGTCTGCCTTCGGCTCAGGTCGTGATCCCAGGGTCCTGGGATCGAGTCCCGCATCGGGCTCCCTGCTCCGCGGGGAGCCTGTTTCTCCCTCTGCCTCTGCCTCTCTCTCTCTCTATCTCTCATGAATAAATAAATAAAATCTTAAAAAAAATATATTCTAGGGGCACCTGGGTGGCTCAGTCGTTAAGCATCTGGCTTTGGCTTAGGTCATGATCCTAGGGTCCTGGGATCAAGCCCCACATCGGGCTCCCTGCTTGGCAGGAAGCCTGCTTCTCCCTCTCCTCCTGCTTGTGTCCCCTCTCTTGCTGTGTCTCTCTCTGTCAAATAAATAAATAAAATCTTTAAAAAAAAAATATTCTAGAACGATGATGTTAGTTCAAAAAAAAAAAGAACTCCTACAAAGTAATAACAAAAAAGACACATAATCCAACTTTTTTAAATGGGCAAAATCCTTGAACAGACACCAAAAAAGATCTACAAATGGCCAATAAAGCGTATGAAAAGATGTTCAACAGCTTTATCCATGATAACCAAACACTAGAAACATTCAAAATGTTCATCGGCAGGTGACTGCATATACAAATTGTGCTATATTCATACAACGGAATACTCAGCAATAAAAGGGAAAGAGCTGGTGACAGACACAACCTGAATGACTCTCCAAAATATTCTGTTCATTTAGAAATAGAAGCCAAACACAGACCAAATGATAATCAAGAACAAGCAGAGCTAATCTATAGGGATTAAAATTCTTAAAAATGGCTGCCTCAGGGGTAGGATATTGACTGGTCAAGAGGGTGATGGACCTGTTCTGTATTTTAGTTTGAGTGGTGGTTACATAGATATATCTGTCAAAACTCATCAAACTATATATAATTCAATGTCTTTCAAATATAACTCGGTTTCAAAAAACACAGAAAACAAAAGTGCATGTTAGAAATATATTTAGGGTACCCTGTGGGCCCCAAAGAGAAAGTAGTTCTACTGGAGGTGTAGGTTTAGGGTCCTTAGAGTTGGTAGCATTTAAACAGAATTTTGGGGGGGTAAGTAAGTATGACGGAGATAAATGGGGGAAAATATTTTCTAAGAAAGATAAAGAGAAAGGTGTGGAGAAAGGAAAATACATGGTAATTAAGGAAAAAAGGAATAGCTCTGTAAAAAGGAGAGAAGACTGTAAAATATGTCAGGCAGGTGATTATAAGAAAAAAATCCAGGAAGTATGCTAGAGTCTGATCATGAAAACAGT